TTTTTAGAATTAAGAATTGGGGCTCCTACAAAAAAGTTATGAAATACTTACGTTTCTGCCACTCTGAAGCAGTTGGGTACAAATTAAGTATTTTTTTTAGTCTCTCAAAGTTAAAAGAATTAAAGCTAGCTTGAAGACACGTGAATGTATCAACTAATAACAGTATTGAAATCAATTTTTTTAAATATATTTTATTGATTTTTTACAGACAGGAAGGGAGAGAGACAGAGTCAGAAACATCGATGAGAGAGAAACATCGATCAGCTGCCTCCTGCACATCCCCCACTGGGGATGTGCCCGCAACCCAGGTACATGCCCTTGACCGGAATCGAACCCAGGACCCCTCAGTCCGCAGGCCGACGCCCTATCCACTGAGCCAAACGGGTTTCAGCGAAATCAATATTTTTAATCAAGTCATAATGAGATTAAAAGTTCCTGGGGGGTGGGGGGGCAGGGGTGGTGTGTCTTTATTGTTCTGGAAAGGGTAGGTTTACAAAGTTAGCAGAGATATGTGAAAAAAATATTCTTATTACTTTATATTTCTAACTTGAATCTTTTTACACATTACCATTTCCTTTTTAGAGACCAGTGTAGATGGAAACCATGTAGTGAACAATTTAGGAAGCTGGTTAGTTAGAAGTTGTTCAGGTTACTGTGAGGTTTGGTGTCTTACAACCTTGACACAATTCATCTGTGACTTGAGTTATATCACCCCCTTTACTCAAGAACATATTATCCAGTATTAATGAATTCAGATTATTTTGTGGAACATTAAACTTCATTAGGTAGCTTTATAAAGACTCCTTAAAATATCAGTAAAACAAATACTTAATTTGACAATTTCTATTTCTAGACTTATCCCAAATATATTTAGAGTCTAGGATTTAATATGAAATAATGGTAGAAAAAGTTACTAAATATTTTCTTGTAAGGCAGTCTTCACTTTCTCTATTTTATGGTGGTGGTTTTCAAACAAAGAGGGGTATAATGTACACTGATCTCTAAGGCTTTTTCTGTCTCCAAAATTCTGTAATTTATCCAGTCCTCAGTCTTAACCATTTTATAAAACTTGAAGTCTAAAGCCAAAAACCTTGCTATATTGCAGTTTATTGAAATTGTTTTATGTGACATTTTTACATGGAAGGCCTTAATGTCATTAAAATAAAACAAAATAAGAAAAAAAATCCTAAATTGTCCATTAATACTATTAGGTAGCTCCAGAGCTCTAGATTATAGTAACTGGAGGGAATGTGGAGTAATAGTATTAGTTATTGTTCACTTGCTGTAAAAGGGATAATGGATTTAGTTGTTTCATTACAAGTTCAACATATAGGAATGTAAGTTTCTATAAAAGATACGTTTGAGATTATTTGAAGTGTTTTATTCAGTTTTAAAATTTAAAATTATTTAGTTGATTTTTAATGATATAGTATTACAGAGAATTATATCTATTGTTTGAAATGAGGCTTCTTTGATTTATCTTAGGATATTACCTTTTCTTAATGTTCCTCTCTAGTATTCTTAATATTGCAATTTCTGCCCCATTTATTTTTACCCTATAATAGTTCACTTCTTTCATATTGAGATGTCTGTTTTTTAGAACAAAAAAAGAAAGTTTATATATAATATTATAATATATAATTATAATGTACATAGTAAACAGTTTATTATTTATTGCAATGGCACTATGAGAGTAACAGTACTGTTTAGTCCCTATACCTACTGATTAACTTAGACTTAACTAAGAAACTTTTCTAGTCTATAAAAGTGCAGAAATGTTATTCTCTCAGTTTATCTTTAGCTTTGGGAATAGCTATATCTATTAAATTGGTGTATAGTAACTATCTGATCACTCTTCCTTAGACTGAGGGAAACCCTGAATATAGTTTCCTTTTCTTTAACTTCTTAATCTACTCTTCATTAAAAATATAGTTAATTTCACACACAATAAAATTTTTCAGTTCAAGTTTTAAGGTACTTCTACAAGAAAGGAGAAAATGTAAGAATATATTTAGTTCAGCCAACTTAATTTTGAGATGTAATTAGTACTTACTATTATTGAGTATTACTATTATAAAGGACTTCAGAGAATAGGAATTCAATTTAGGTAATTGCAATATTCCTTCTTTGAGAACAATAATATTACTAGGAGATATAAAAAATATATGCAAGTGAAAATTCACATTTTTTATTAAGAATTTTTACTAATGAATATACATTCACTGCCCTATCCCATGGTTGGCAAACAGCAGCTCTTTGGCCCCTTGAATGTGGCTCTTCCTAAGCCTTAGGAGTACCCTAATTAAGCTAATAACAATGTACCTACCTATATAGTTTAAGTTTAAAAAATTTGGCTCTCAAAAGAAATTTCAATCGTTGTACTGTTGATATTTGGCTCTGTTGACTAATGAGTTTGTCGACCACTGCCCATACAATGATTAAAGTTAGCCATACATTTGACTGTATGTTGTTGCTTCTTAGCAACCTGAAACAGATTGCCTCAGGGAAATTTTTTCATCTTTTTTTAGGCACTGTGGCCTTAAAAGATAGTTTCCACATGGTCTCTCTTAGGGGATCATTGAATGAAGTGATCACATTTCTCAGAAGCAGTCTTAAGTATAATTGAGAATTTTACATAACATTTATAATACATGATATTGTTGATATCTTCTATCGTTAATTATGTACTATTGGCTTTACTGAAACCATCACTAGCCTCTGTTTTCTTCATATGGACAACTCAGGAAGGGAACTTAAGAAGTATAGTTCCTAAGTGGAACTATAGCATTTTATTAAATTTCTACTATGTGCCCAACACCTAGCTGTAGGCATTAGAATTACAAATTTAATAAAATGCCATTCCTACCTGAAGGTGTTGAATAGTATCCACAGGAATAGCAGTGGTTGTTTTAGGCATCTGTAGTGGGTGGATGGGTATATACTGTGTAAGATTGGAGAGGAGGGAACAGAAAGAGGGCCACAGTAATAGTCCATGAAGGGAAAAATTACTCCTCAATTTAACATAGTGGCAGTAAGAATGGGGAGGGGGAGACTAAACTCTGGAGATAGTTAGGAGTTGGAAAGGATAATGACTTTGATAGTTGAAGGAGAAAGAGTAGGTAAGATGCCTCCCGTGATTCTGCTTTGGGGGACCAGGTAAATGGAGATACTTCTATTCTTAAATCATAACAAAGACATACCACATTTTAAAAGTTTTGTTGATACATAATGTAACAAATAAAATACTTATAGTATGTGTCATTGCTGAATAGTTTTAAATCTAAATGTGCATTATAAGAAAAGCCTAACTCATGTTTTGTTATTTAATTATTTTCCTTTTAGGTTTAAATATTCTTAGCCATGTTTCTAATAGGTATCTACTAAGATGAAGTTAATGGTTAGGACATATTTAAGAGAGAATGTAATTCATAATTACTGATTTTGAAGGGGAGGGGTTCAAACAAAAATTTACAAGATCTGATTTAGAGTTCTGTTGTGGTTTCACAACTGTTTGTTATACATATGCTAGGTACTGTTTGAATTTAAGAATACAGAGATAAAATAGAGTTGTTATTCTTGAGCTCAGACACTCATGATTGTACAGCATGTAAGTACTATGATAGAGCTATACACAAAAGAAGGGATCTAATCTCTAAAGGTAAGGAGGAGGAGAAGGGAATATGGAAGGCTTCCAGAGGTAATTTCCAAACCGATTTTTTAAAAACTATTTTCTGACATTTTAATTTGGAAACTTTCAACCCTGAAAAAAGTTTAAAACAGAGGGGATGTGGGACGTGGTGGTGGCGAATTGGGTAAAGGGGTCAGAAGATATAGACTTCCAGTTATAAAATAAATAAGTCATGAGGCTATGATATACAGCAATGATGACTCTAGTCAGTAATGCTGTACTGCATATTTGAAAGGTGCTAAGAGAGTAAATCTTAAAAGTCTTCACAAGAAAAAAAATCTAACTGTATAGTGATGATATTAACTAGTCTTGTGATCATAAATATCAAATAATTATGTTGTACACCTAAAACTAATATAACGTTATATGTTAATTATACCTCATTTAAAAAAGGTATAATGTTTACTTTATTTCTCTCATGTATAGCATATGTGATATATATCAAATATATATTTTGAGAACAATTTGTAAGTAAATTGTCGACAAAGTAACACTTAACTCTTAAATATTTCAGTGTACATGTCTTAAAGAATAAAGACATTCTCCTCTAAAACAATTTTACAATCAAATTTAAGAAAATATTTGGTCTACTTTTTATTATCTGTGCATGAGTTACCTTTTTAATGTTTAGCAGTTTTGAATTTCAGGCTGATATCTTCCTGTTACTCGACTTACCTTAGTGTTATTAGTGCTATGTTTTTTTTTTTAAAAGTTTATACTTAAATTCTTCTTTTTTTTAAATTTTTTATTACAAAGGGTATTACATATGTGTCCATTTTTTCCCCCCGCCCTAGACAGTCCCCTAGCCTCCCCTATCCCCCAGTGTCTTATGTCCATTGGTTATGCTTATATGCATGCATACAAGTCCTTTGGTTGATCTCTTACCCCCCTATCTCCCGCCCCCCAACCCTCCCCGGCCTTCCCGCTGCAGTTTGACAATCTGTTTGAGGCAGCTATGTTTTGAAAGATTGTGAAATAGACCTTATAAAAGTTAGCCCAAGGAGAAATCAGGAAAGTAAATATCCTCCTGAAATTAAAATAAATATTCATGGCAAATATAATTTGTATATTAACTTTTGTTTTAGATTATCTGCAAATTCAAAAATTGAGAGAACATATGTGACAGCATAAATTGAGATTTAAAGAGGAAGATTACCATTTCTCATACTAATATATATGATATTAGATGTTTTGAATTGTTAAGAGTTTTCAGGGCAAAGTTTCTGAAGTTCTTGTATTTATGGAAATAATATATGAGAACTATTTAGACAGTATCTGTTTCTGTTTTCAGACTGGACTGGTTTAGATGAAGATGAAGATGCACATGTCTGGGAGGATAATTGGGATGATGACAATGTAGAGGATGACTTCTCCAATCAGTTACGGTAAACTTTAAGCCAGATTTTTATATAACTTAGTATTAATTGTAAGCACAGAATATGTCATCTACATATGATAATTGAGCTCTTAAAAGATAATTAATCGTTGAAATATGTTTTTGGATTCTGAAAAGTAAGACATTTTGCCTTTATTTCTTGTGTTTCTAAATATGAATACTTTGGGTAAGTGCCTAGAACTTTTGTTCTTTCTAGGCTCTTGGCAAAAGTGGTTAAATAGAAGCATATTTACTGTTTTTTATCCTTGTGGGTTTAATTCTGTTGAAGTTAATTTTCTGCCAATATTGAATAACTCAGTAGAAATTAGAATCATAGAGTGCTAGAACCCACCTTTTCTTCTGGCTATCACCATACTGTTGTCTGAGTCTGTATAGTCATTAATGCTTAATCTCTTCACAATTTTTCACCCAGCTCCCCAATCTCTCTCCCATCTGACAGTTGTCAGTCTGATTTTGTTTGTTAAATTATTTTGTTGATTAGATTCTACATATAAGTGAGATTATAAGGTATTTGTCTTTCTCAGACTGATTTCACTTAGCATAATAATTTCCAGATTTATCCAGACTGTCACAAAAGGAATGATTTTCTTTTTTTTTTTTTTTTTTTACAGCCAAGTAGTATTCCAATGTGTAAATGTACCGTAGTTGTTTTATCCATTCATCTGTTGATGGATACTTCAGCTGTTTCCAGATCTTGGCCATTGTAAATAATGCTTCAATGAGTATAGAGGTTCATTTATTCTTTTGAATTAGTGTTTCGGAATTCTTTGGATATATTCCCAGAAGTGGGATCACTGGGTCAAAAGGTTCCATTTTTAATTTTTTGAGGAAACTCCATTCTGTTTTTCACACGGCTTCACCAGCCTACTACATTCCCAACACATGCCTACAAGGTTGTTCATATGTCACCAGTTCTATTAAATAAAACGTACTGTATTGATGTAAGTGTTCTGTAACCCATTCGTGTGATTATTGAGCACATGAAATGTGGCTAGCGCAGCTAATGAACTACATAAAATGAACTAATTTTACTAAATTGCCATGTATGAGTACTACATTGGGCAGCGTAGCCTCAGATAATATTTATATTTCTGCTTTTAAAACTTGTCTCGATTAACAAGTCTCCAGCAAATATGCTCTTCCTAGCCTTTGTAAAATGCATTGAGGCCTTTAGTGTGGTATTGTAAACCATGGTAAAAAACAACAACATGTTCTTCTATCTTCTGATGTTATTTGGTCCTGATCCCATCTAATTTCGGAGAGGCAGTTTGTACTTTAGAGTCAGTCATATTCCCTGAGTTCTAACTCCAGATCTGTCTTCAGCAACAACCTACCACAACCTTTCCATGTCTCTTTCTCTTTTAGTGTAATTACCTTTAGCAAGTAGAAGTAGAAAGGAAAAAGGATATCTGTGTCTCCAAGTAACTGAAAGTCCTGTTTTTGCTGTTTCTGACATATTTGTTTCTCTGTATATCAGAAGTAAGTAGGATTATCAGATTTTCCTGACCCGCATCACATTTTACATAAAAACTATGTTCTTCATTTACTGTGTAAAATATAGCAACTGGCATATAACTGTAGTTTTTTGGATAGTAAGAGGAGTTCCCAAACCTATTAGTCTTAGTCTTCTTCTATCGTAAAAGGAATGCTGGTTTTGTTTGTTTCTTTGTTTCAAATAGTATGTATTCATTATGTGTGTCTCATTTCTTCTCTTTGCTGGATTTTTCCACTTAACAGGCTCTTGATATTAGTTTTTTTTATATTGTTTTGTGTTTTGTGCTTAATGGCCTTGATTTCTTTTCCTTTTGATTTCTTATATATCCCAAATTTTAGCAAAGAAGTTTTCATGTTCTCTAAGAATTTAGCCAGTAGGGAAACATATCATTATTTCTTTTGTATTTGTAAATAATTTATAAATATAATTGGTTACCACCTCCTGTCAAGAAGTCAGATGGGTTTTTTTGTTTTGTTTTGCCTTTGTTGTTAAAATAAGAGAAAGTAAATATGTACATTAATTGTTTCAGAAAACTATTATTTAAGAAACTTTTTAAATTAATTTAATGTTAAATAGGAAACATGAATGATAGGCATTATAATTTTAAACTTCCTGGGTAGGAGGGCAGAAGAAACATTTTAATTAAATTTAGCAAGGGAAGGGATAGAGTCAGAAACTTGTGCTGATCTTTATACCCCTACTCTAGCATTTTACTAGTCCATACTGCCCTCTACACCTGAGCAGAAGAAAGATGATTCATATGAATAATCTCTGGCCTTAATATTATTCATGGACTTTAGGTTAGTATTTATATTATAAGAAACTGAAATTTTTAGGAAATTGAAGGAGTGTGAGGAAATGAATAATAAATATTATACATCATTCCCACCATGTGCTTTTTACATTGTGTTTACATTGGATAGTATGATAGTGGCTAAGCTAAATTACACTTGAGGACAAAAGTCTTTGTCTTATTAGATGTAATGATGTAGGGCACATTAGTCATACTTTACATTTGTATTATGTTTTATCATGGATTGGCCCTCAAATAATTTTGTGGTGAACTATTATAAAATCAGAATTGTGGCAGGTAAGTTGCTGGTGATATTTAGAATGGTAGTTTAAATAGCTGAAATTCATTAAATGTTGTATATAAGGCTAATCAACTATTGCAGTTGACATTTTCAGAAACTTCAGGTTGAATAAATTATTTAAAATTATAAAAAGTGTCTTTTTAAACTGTGTATTTTTTCCAATATAATTTTTGAGATTTTTTATTCATATTTAAAATTAGGAAATTAAAGTCTTATTTAATAGTTTATAACTTATTTATTATATTTATTTTGCCTACATATAGCTAATGCAGAATAATGCTTACCCTTAAATTTGATTTTTAATTTCTGTCTGCTTAGCTCAATAGATATATGTAAATATGGAAAGCAATCTGTTCATCTCTTATGTGTAAATAACAGTAATACCTATTATGATGATTATGAAATCCCTAAGATTGATATCAATGTCTTGTGTTCTTAACTATATGGTTAATGATTCTTAAAATTTGTTTAAATATTTATTATTATGAACTGGACATTTTATGGTATTTGGAAGGTATTTGGAAGATAGCAGTAAATTTCTTATATTTCTTCCATAAATAGATTATCAGAAAATTAAGGAATATGAAATACTAGTGGGAAATTAAAATTTTACTAGCATTGTGTTGATTCACATCCAGTTTCTTGTATAGATTTATTTCTAGGGACTAAAGGAATTTGGTAGTATTTTTAATTGGTGCCTAAATTTAGCTCATTTTTAATTTATTGTATTATTTCTTAAAACCACCTGTTTCTTTAATCTATCATAAAGAATGTCTAGTGATATTATATTTTTGTGTTTTATTTTAGAGCTGAACTAGAGAAACATGGTTATAAGATGGAGACCTCATAGTATCCAGAAGAAGTATTGAAGCAACCTAAAGTTGAACTATTTACTAAATTCTAGGTCACAGAATCCAGGATGAATAAACTTAAAAAATGTTTATTTCATTACTTGCTTGGCTTTATTTTTGCTTTTGTAACACAAAAAATAAATGTTTTGATCTAATTTTGGTTTGGTTCAGAAGTCTTGATTTTTGCCTAATAACTTTCTCATAGTATTCATGATTTTCCAGGACTTGATTATATAGAGTAAAATTTCCTATTATGATTTTTTGTTTTAATGTTAACTGAGGATCAGAGAGGTTAAAATGAAATGAGGCTAGAATCCATATCCCCAATTCAGTAGTTAAACCACATCAATTAAATATTAGTCTTATTCATAAGGTATTTCTTATAAGTTACTTTTAAACTTAATCTCATCTGTATTTTTAAAGCTTAGACAACATTCACATTTTTAAGATGATTCTTCAAAACCTGTGTTTCAAGATATTAATCATTTTAAATTGCTTAATCTACTTTTCTGTGTGGGAGACTTAATTTGGTTAGTAAATTATTCTTTCTGATAAGACTTAGAATGGGGCTGTTATACAGTTTTTATTAGGAATATTTTCAGACTTGAATGTGTTGCTCTTTAGAAGTGGAATCACTGGTGCTGTTGAATAATTTAAAATGTAAAATTTATTTAACATGATGTAGTATTAACACCAAATAGAAAAGTTGGGCACCGGAAATATAATTTAAGTTATGCCTCGAAATGATTTTGAACATACAAAGTTTTTTCATCCTAAGACAAGCATAAATCTGCCTTACCTACCTAACAACAACTAGATGATCAGATGGAATAAAAGTAATAAAGAACTTTGGAAAGTGTAAAAAGACCTTATGTTTTTGTAACATATAGTTACAAAATGTAGCATGTAAAGAAATATTTTGATGGATATTTTCTCATT